AAGTTTGTCCAGGACTACATTAAATGGGACACATGTCTCGGAACAAAAATTCCAGTCCTTGCATATCATAAAACTTGGAGGAGTATCTTTAATATGTACATCAAATAAGTTTTGCATGTTAAATAACATATAAAAACTCTGCTCTATTTCCCTTTTCCTAAGATATTTTAATTAGAAACATATATTCATAAAATAAAAATGTATTTCATAAGATGAATGGGTTGTATTGAATAAGTGTATCATAACACAAAAAACGAATAATTAAAAAATGTATTTTCAGTTATAGCAGCAAACTTGCCTTTTTACTTATAAAGTGTTCCGTAATTGAAAGAATTGAAAAATGAAGAATCGTTAATTACCTATAATATATTGTATATTATGTATAATATTTGTCACAAACATTTGGAGAAAACAATTAATTATATATATAGTATATAATAAAATATTCGGTGAAATAGAACAGTACTGAGATATTAAGGATATATCTTCTATTAAATAATGAGGTATGTAAGTAAATTAATCAACAATATATCACAATGTCGAATAAATTAAATACATGTACGAATAAGTATTATTTCTCTATTTAGTTGGTAATATAAATATAAAAGTGTGCCTGTCATGTATGCTAGAAGTAAAGTAAACAACGTTACGACTCAATCATATGCTAAAAGGGTATTTACCCATTTACGGCAAACAAATTTCTTAAAAATGTAAACGAAGAGCGAAATAAATGTTTAAATTGTCCTACCGCATAACAAAAGTCACCGCCAAATCCATCGTTGATAATAGCAATGTGGAATTAACATTTGTCAACAGTACAAATATAATAAAATCCGTAAGAGAACCTGAAAATTTATTCATTAAAAAATTTGCTTGCTATACATTTCAAGAATTACAATAATGTAGTTCGTAATGGTTTTTATACTGGACCAATGGCATCCTTTTAGAAGATTCCATGTATCAGTCGCATAAATTGTTACAGTGTTATTTAAATTAGTACATAAAGTCATATTTAAAAAAAAAACACCTTTATATCACGGTGACCTAATTTTCGTTTCGTATAAACTTCCCCTATATATTCAAAGATCTGGCAAAGTAACATTTAATTCTATTTTGTAGCTTTCATTTTGATATAGGTGCATATGAAACCCAGTAATCGCCCTAAATAGAAATGTTTAACCTTAATATATATTATAATTGTAATTATGTTTTGCGCCAGGTGTAGGCTGCATATTTTTGTGCTCTCAATATTTATTGATTTATTGTGATTTCTACCTTATGTGGAACTGTGATTTGTGGCAGATGGATTTATGAATACCTTCTTAACATGGATCAAGCATTATTTTGTGGATTTATAATTGCAATACTTATCAAAACTGGACAGAAACAATTGCACTTTGACAACAAAGGGTGTTCCACCTCAATTAACACACTGTTGCCCACCAAGTCAACAGCTGACACAATGTAAAATCAGTTTACCGTTAGACGGTACAATAGAGATCAGTTACTGAGTTTGAGTTCACTACCTATGAAAGCATACAGATTGGATAATGAAATATTATCAAAATTGAAAAGCAATAATATCTTGGTATACAGAGGTAAACGAGCTGGACGGCCTAGAGCAAGGATCAAGTATACCAATCAAGGTGTTCATTTGGATAATTTAACAAAGATTAAGGTATGAGCCCCCTAATGGGCACTATAAGGAACTATAAAATTGACAACATAGGTCAGCTATATACCTTAAAAGACACAAGAATGCAAAATTTAAACAAAGTCTACCGTATGGTTTACGAGTTATGGAGATTTTTCCTAAGTAAAACTTGGCTATTAAAAGGGCTCTTTTTCAGAAATGAGAAACTCTAAATATTCTATTTTATAATCATTATGAAAAAATGTTTTCCTATAGAACATTTTTGAGAAACAAAGAATAGCATTCAGCTAACAAATGAGCCAGCAAAATTATTGTTCCTACTCAAAATGTTTGAAATATGTATATATATGTTACCCTACCCCACCCATTTTAAGTACTTGTTTGATCATTTTTCTACTTGGAGGTCCTTATACAAAATATCCTTAAAATTTACTCAAACCAGGGGCTGTTTTCAAAGTTTGCATAAATTTTTTAAAAGTATATTGGTTGCGCTTGTCAAATATAAAATACTTTTACCGTCTAGTTTTTATTTTATTAGACTTTGAAAATATCAGGTACCATATTTGATAAAAAATTTGACACAATTTAGCCAATAAATACCAATAATAATTTCATAATTAAAATGAAACACTTTTTTTCTTTTCAAGAGTGATATGAGAGACACAAATAATGTTCAAAGAAAAAACAAGAAAGAAAAAAAAAGTTGCCGCTTCTGGGGCTTGAACCCACGCCCCTCAGTTACAATGCAGTTGACAGTAGTCTTAGCCTATTTGAATACTCTTTTAAAGTGGAGGTAATGCATTAGGTGGATCATACCTTAAAATTGACCAGATTTCAAACTTGAATGAACTGAGAAGAAAAAATTTGACTCTTTCAACAGTTAATTCTAGGTCACTTCGGAATAAATCGGCTGAATTATTGCAGCATATATATGAGGAACAAATTGATTTTTGTGTCATCACTGAGACATGGTTGCAGCCTGAGGGCGATGATAAGACTAGAGGAGAACTGAAGCAAGATAGGTACAACCTGGATGATGTTCCTAGGTCAGAGAGAAAAGGAGGATGGTTGGCCTTACTGTACAGAGATAACCTCAAATGTTTAAGACTTTCCAATGATCAATTTCAATCATTTGAATGTGCAGAATGGGAAATTAAGTGCAAAATATTTACATTGAAAATTGTTGGTGTATACAGACCTCCCTACTCAAAGTCACATCCTGTAACTCAAGCTACATTTCTGAATGAATTTCCACAACTACTCGACAGAGTCTTACTTAAGCCTGAACCAGTGGTTATCTTGGGAGATTTCAATTGGCATTTGGACAATGACGATGATTGTTATGCAAAGCGTTTTGCTGAATGTCTGCAATCATATGGTCTAGAGCAGCATGTCAAAACACCTACACACAAGTGGTCATGTTTTGGACTTAATAATAACCAGAAAAGCAGATAGGCTGAATGTTTCAAAGCCAGTTACAGACTATTTTATCTCTGATCACTCTTTTACAACATGTCATATAGAACAAAGCCGTCCACCTCTAATCAGAAAAACAGTGATTTCAAGAAACTGGAAAAATGTATGCACTAGTGATATGAGAAAAGACCTCTCACAACTTAAGTCTGTCATTGATCAGTCTGATGACACAGATACGTTAGTGAAAGATTTGACTGAGAAAACCACTAGCATTGTTGACAAGCATGCTCCCATGAAGGAAAGGCAAATTGTTTGTAGACCAGATATCCCCTGGTATTCAAGTTACTTGAAGAAATTAAAACACTTCAAAAGAAGTATAGAAAAGATACATTTGAAACACAAATCCACCTTGACTGAAAATGTGTACAAGAAAGTGAAGAATCATTATACTAGAGAAGTTTCAGCTGCAAAATCAGGCTTTTATCAGTCAAAGATAAATGATGCAGAAGGAAATGTGAAAAAACTGTATAACATCACCTCTAAACTCCTTGGCAGAGAAAAAGAAAATCCTCTTCCTTCATATTCCAATGATCAAGATCTTGCTAATGACTTTCTGCAATATTTCACAGACAAAATTAAAAATCTAAGAGATCAGCTTGTACACTTGTTGATACTGGACATCAAAATAATAGTGTTGGAAAACAGTCTTGTGTCAGTTGCTTGGATCAGTTTGAGATGCTTTCTTGTACAGATGTGAAGAAGTTGATTTTAGAATCAAAGTCTACAACTTGTGAACTTGATTTCATGCCAACTACCAAGTTAAAAGAGAACATTGAGTACTTTCTGCCTGTAGTCACAGAAATTGTGAATAGGTCACTTACTTCTGGCATCTTTCCTCAGACTTGGAAAAGTGCAGTGATAAGACCCCTGTTGAAGAAAAAGGTCTCGCTCTGGAGCTGAAAAACTATAGACCAGTGTCAAATTTATCATTTTTGTCCAAAATACTGGAAAAAGCTGCACTGAATCAAATCACTAATTCTAACACTATCGGAATTTTTTCTATATAGACAAAGAAGGCCGGAAGCGTGCATTATTCTACAACAATGCACTCGCCGTTCTTATTATCTCCCTGTGTATTTTCACATTGAAGGCGCCATTTTGTTTAAAAAATCTGATAAATTAAAACAATTTTTTTCGAATTTTGTTGTGAAAACTATCTAGAATGAAAGAAAATGGTCTAACTAAGAAAATTAATCCGAACACCAATATCTTTAATTCAGTCGTTAACGCTGTACAGACGTTTAAAGTGTTGTTTACGTGACGTCACAATGTAGCGCCAAACAGCACGTGCAAAACAATCAAATCAAGTTCGCTATTTAATGTCGCAAACGAGTTTAGTTTTACATTTATTTCACTTTTAATAATTTGTATTTCGCTTGGAAAATTATAAACTGAAATAAATAAACAAACAAAGTTGTATCAACGTTTTCAAAATTCGTTATTTTCAAAATGTTTCTACAAACGGTAGATTTAACAGTTTTTTTTCAACCCACTGGAACGGCCTCTAAAGAACGTTTCTATTGGAAACTCTGAGGCGAAAACAAATTCAACCACCAAACATAAAGTCCAACGTTATAATAAAAATTATATTTTTTCTTGACGTATTAGAATGGAAATAGATATCAATTCTTCGTGCATTATTGTATAATAATGCACGTTTTTCGTTCAAATGCTTTGTAATTAATCACTCAGGCCTATCGGCCTTCGTGATTATATTACTACGCATTAGAACTCAAACCGTGCATTTCTTCTACAACAATGCACTCAGAATTGATATCTATTTCCTAAATATATTGAGACAAATAAACTTTTGCCATCGTATCAAAGTGCATATCGTAAAAACCATGGAGTAGAAACTGCTTTGATAGAAATGTATGATGATTTGCTGAAAGCTGTTGATGATGGACAAATTACAATAGTCGTTATGATTGACCTCAGTGCTGCGTTCGATACCATTGACATCCCTATTGCGCTTCATATACTTCATGATGACTTTGGCATAGATGACGTTCCTTTACAGTGGATCAAATCATACTTGACTGATAGGACCATGAAAGTTATCATAAACAATGATTCATCAAGACAAGAAAACCTGATGTTTGGTGTGCCTCAAGGCTCCTGTGCTGGCCTAGTAATCTTTACCTTGTATATTGCAGCATTAAAAAGAGTTGTCAAGAAATACCCGGCTCAGTTACATGGTTATGCTGATGATCATAAAGTCGCTCTACAAATTCAAGCTGGAAACATAGAAAATGAAACTTATGTTCTTGAACAATTATCTGCTTGTTTGGATAATATTTCTTCATGGATGGCAAAGTATAAATTGAAAATGAACAATGCAAAAACAGAGATCATTTTATATGGTACTACACAACAGTAAGCAAAGGTTGATATACCCGGTGTGAATGTAGGTGGTTGTTTTGTCAAATGTGTTGACCATGTAAGGGACTTGGGTGTTTGCTTTGATGCCAACCTTAGTTTTGACAGGCATATACGAAAAAAGTGTCAAATAGCCTACTCTCAACTTAAGAACCTGAAATCCATTCGTAAGCATCTGTCTCAGAAATCAACGGAAATACTAGTTCATGGTTTAGTCAATTCCCACATCGATTTTTGTAATGGACTTTTTGCAGAAATACCAGTTTATCAAATAGATCGACTTCAGAGACTCCAAAACCAGGCTGCTCGGGTAGTAATGAATGTGTATGACCAACCTAGTGCTGATCTCAGAAAATCTCTACATTGGTTACCAGTCAAGGCACGGATTATGTTTAAAGTAATTCTTATTGTTTTCCGAGTAATACATGGAACAGCTCCAACGTATCTCATAACTTTGTTTAATTGTGTGAGAAGAAAATACCGTCTAAGATCAGCTGCTGATGACACTTGTACACAGTTTGTTGTGCCAAGACGCAGGACCAGACTTGCTGACAGATCTATTTCTGTTATGGGACCTAAATGGTGGAACGCCCTACCAAAAGAATTAAAGTGCATTGCATCGATCGGAAATTGCATTCAGAAAAACACTGAAAGCACATCTCTTTGAACAATTTTATAGATAAAAAGTTTCGTCAAATGTGTATATAGTTTTAAACTGTGGAAATGACTTTGACATTATAGGATCTTGTGAAGCGCAACAGAATATAACTGTATAAAGTGTCGCGCTATAAAAATACCTATGATTGATTGATTGATTGATATATTAACATTCTTACTTTCAAAAATATCTTTGAATATGTACATGACTGTATCTCATAAAATGTTTAAGGAATCAACTTTTACACCGAGTCCAATCGTTCACTATGTTTCCCAGGCGGAGAACGCATGGAGAAATCAATTTTACAGGTGGAAAATCGATACTGTGGTAAGAAAAGTGTCTTCAATTTCTTTGAAAATGCATATTTCACAAAACTTTATAGCCTATTCTGATCTCGTGTGATTACTTTATCCGACAGGCATCTCAAACTCGCCAAATCTTTGTTAACTTATTAGATCATTATCGACAACTGCACAAGAAAAGTCACAAAACTGGTAAAATCGCTTTTTGATATCCAATAACTTGACATCCAAGCAAACTTCTAAACATTTGTATCGCTCTAATGGTTCTTTATTAACATATCCTCATCCACCAAAAGCCTGTTCTATTTCTATTCCGTATTATAATATCGTTTAAGCGAATTTTCAAAAGGAACGCATGAGCCGAACTTTTCATGTGGTTTCATAGGTTTGCAAAGTTAATATAAGTAAACTGTTGACGACAGGGTAAACTGTGTCCCGAAGCTCTAAATAAAAAGAGTTGAATTGTAATATTTCATTTAATAGTATATTTCAACAGAATAAATATCACTTCACCTGTCAAATCTAAATATTCTACCTCTAGACTTATGGTATGGTTTAGTTAATGATTTAATTTGAAAACCTCTCAGTATTTGTGCACCAAATCTTTGACACAATGTACTCAATACGAATTGTCTTGTATATTAAAGAATTATTGCTGAAACTATGTTTTAACGAAAAAATGGCTGAAACTTTAAATTATTTACTTCTGTGAGTGCACACATTGGATACTTATTAAGTGAAAATGTATTGTTATCAAACTGGAGTTATATCTTTAAACATAGTTATGTCTTTAAAATGTAAATTCATCATATAAGAATAAGACTGTTTAATTTTTCTTTGTTTATTATTTTGTTAAAGGCATACCAGTTGTGCCAGATAATGAATCATGAGTGCATAACATCTGTTACAATTACAGTAATATTATCATAACTATATAATATGCATCATTTAATATTAAACAAATTTGCATTTAGAACAAAAAGTATGTTACACAATTTCAAACATAATGCATTATTTGACACGACATTATCGCCTGCTATGTAGCATAATCTGTTTTACAATCAATCGTGTATTGGAATCAGGGGCATTTCCGGACCTGATGTCAATCGAAAAGTTGCTACCACCGTCATAACAAATATTCTGGTGTATAATAGTCGATACATAGATTATTAAAGAATCTTTATAATAGTTTCTGGAATATGTTTGAAGTTCGGAGCGAAACCAGGAAATAAATTTTCATGACACACTGCCAAATGTAGAATATTGAACTATTTAGATAATGGTTATGCCTATATATGGTGTTAATTTCAATTCAATATTTAAAATGTAATCAGATTTATATAAATGCAAACACACTTTATGTTAAAACATGAACCATTCATGCCTTCACCGTCTCACACAGAAAATAATCTTATTCTATCGTTATTAAAAAAAGGTTCTTATTCATTTCTACATGCTCATTTAACATAATCCTTGTTGCTGAAAGCCGTTCTTATATTTTCAATAGACGTGTACAGACGAATCTCATTTTTTGATTTATCCAGTTGTTCGTATGCAGATTCAATATCTATTTCTTTCCTTCGTAAACCTGGAGATATTTCTTCGCTAGTTGCTCGACGTTGGTTTCCTATATTAATATGATTAAAAACATATGTTAAATTGTATCAAACATTTAAATACGTCATGTACTGTTACAGTGATAATGTTTGCTTTTATCTCCTTGTAGTTCTCGGAGTTGATGTTAACATTGTTGTTATGTTTACCTACATGAACAATACTTTGATTACAGGAAATAAATACCAACAGCTCTTCTGTCCATTTGTACAGCCGTCTTCGTCAGTCGATTCTAATGGTAGGTTTTTCTCAAATAAAATTGGTGTCTGTCCTTCCTATACAAATGTGAAATGAGTATAGAAAAATAATTAAAGTGTTCATACCATACTAACTTAAATAATCAATCTTGACAGAAATTCGCTGATCATTTTGAGACCATCCTCTTTAGTTATGATGTTTCTTGAAAAATAACAACAACATCTTTCAAACAAGACCTATACCTTATTGAGTTGCATCTAAAATCAACTGTACATGTGTAAAGTACTGAACAATATTTGGAAATAATAAAGGAAATTTTACTACTTGTATATCTAATATCTTATATAATATTTTAAAAAATATTTATTTGTATTTACCTTAAAATAGTACCATGTAAAAGAGACACTTGTACTAGGCGAAAGACAACCTGTCGTTACTTTTATAGTAGTTGACGATGAATCACTTGACGACGCGATTGTTGTAGCGCTGCCTTCTGGTATCACTGCCAAATTAGAACATATAATTTATTATATAAAATGATACCAATCGTTGTGTTATATCAAGTGCTACCGCTATATCTGTCAACTAATAGTATGAATGAACGTACTGTAGGGTATAATAACACAAGAAATGGTGTATTTATGGATGGACTCAAGTGTTTTTTCTTTTTTTGAATATTCATTCAACTGACACAGGTGTACACTTCGATTTCTTTTTGACACCGCCCCATCCCTGGCTCGACTGTTTCCTTAATTTAATTCTTAGGTGTAGGAACGTCAAGACCTGGCTGTTTTATTATACCCTCTACTGCGTTTGTCAAGTGGCTTATTCTGTTCAAAGTTGGTTCGATTTGCTGTGTTTTTTAGGGCTGAGTTCATTGAATTCTGACGTGATCTTTATTCTCGGTTTTGTTTTTCAAAAATAACGAATTAACTTTTGATATGAGATATTATTTCTTTTTCTTAGCTTGCAAACCTTTACTTGATTTTCAAGAAATTACAATGAGTAAGAGTTTAATGTACTTTTTATCAACTTATAATTATGATACATGTACAGTAAGCAATAAATCCCTCAAATTACTGGTACTTTACCTTTAATTCTTGCAGTAAAAGATGCAAACTCAGAGTCATCATCACACTTAAATTGTTTTAAATTGTCAGCATATATTATCTTATCCATTGATAGGTTAAATATGCCTTGGGTAATATCAAATGAAAATGTGTAATTTGTTCCATAAGTAATGCATGAATTGTGTATACATTCAAAAAAAATATGCTTGTTTATCTTCCATACGACGGCAAGCGAGGTTGGTATGATTTCACAGACGAGCACACATTGTCCGTTACATTTAAGCCGTCCATCCGAAGCAATGTCGCCATATGCTGTTAACGAAACCGTCGCTTCCAAAACAACTAAAATAGGATTGTTTAAATGTTCTAAATATAATGAAAACGTCAGTTTAATAAAATTTTAAAAATCAAACTAAAGCGATAACAAAAGAAAGTTATTAATTAGAAACACTGAATAAAGAAAATACACTTTCAAATGGTTAATGTTATAATTAAAAATACTTAATAAAGAAAAGACACTTTCAAATGGTTTATATTATAAGGGCTATCAAGATATATAAAATGTAACAAGATGATCTGTTGTTATCTAAATGTTATGCATTATTGCAGCAATTGATTTGTGAATATCTTGATTTAATTATGAGAAAGTAAATTATATGTTTTTGTGTCCGTAATTTGTCACTGTTTTTTATTTAATACGACAATTATCAATTATCTGCCTACGGAAAATAAAAAATAACAAATTTGGTATCTGTAAGCAAATTACCTATTTTGCAAATGATTAAATCATAAGACAGAAACTCAACTTGCCTATTAACTGACACAAACATGCTATTACAATAAAATATATTATTCCGCTTCTGTTCACTCCCATCTTGAATCATCGGTACGGTTATATTTGTTGTAACTTGTATTTAACATTTCCTTTACTGTTTCCTTCCCACCTACCGGTATCTCGAAAGGTAAAACAAAAATAAAGTGTTATGCATTTGTCAATAATCTGAACTGTAGCTATTGAATGTTTAACAATCTAGTTAATTTGTATTTATAAAGCACATCTTTCGGCAGGTAATGTAGAATATCGACGCATTTAGAATTTTTATAGCATACAAGTACTTAAAGTAATCTATAAGTCGCATTTTATTTCAAACATTTGTACACAAACATATCTTTCAGCAAGTAATGTAGAATTATGACGCAATTGGACTATTTATAGCACACAAGTAGTTATAAATAATCTATAAGCCGCATTTTTTTATTTCAAACAGTTGTTCACAAATATAATTTACAATGATTACTTCATAATATACAATGACGGAAAAGGATCAGATCCTAAAGCATACAATGCTTATAAACGTATTTTCCTGAACTACACTGTTGAAATAAAAGCGATAAATGTTTGTTTTGTCAAGAGGTTTCAAAACAAAATTTGCATTGAGGTTTTTGTCTCCTGTATACAAATTCAGAAACAAAGATAATCATATCATCACTTGCTTCGATGTTATTCATATCTTAAGTAGGATTATCCTATCCTAAAATGTGTGTGTATGTGTGTGTGTGTGTGTGTTTTTGTTTTTTTTTTGTTTTTGTTTCGTTTTTTTGTTTCAAAAATGCAATCTTCATACTTGACGTAAATGATAGCAGTATAACACCTAGAATTATTGATAATTCAGTCTCAAAGACTTGCTTGCTGTTTCATATTAATATAATTGTTCCAAAAAACTTTCATTATCAGTGTATCTCAGAAGATCTATTTTAATCACCTAGCACAAGTTTGAAAGTGATAAATTTGTTTGTTTATATGCTTGTGTTGTATTAATTATAAACGACACAAGCAGTTGCATGTCGGCTTATTGAGAAGTTCACTCACTCAAAAAATGAAATTTAAAAAAAAAGATTAATTAAATTAAAAACAAATAATAAAAATATCTCACACATACACACGCGCGCAAGTACACATGCACACCCACACGACATCACTGTTTTACTCAGAGACATCGTATTTTTTCAGAAAATGTGATGTTGATTACTCACTTTGTAAATCACAATAGTAAGCATTAAAATACGTTTTCATATTAATAAGGCAATACTGTTAGCTACATTCTCCATCCTTTGCTTCCTTCATCAAAACATTGAAACAATTAATGGTCTGTCTCGTGAGAATGTTTAGGGGTTGTTCTTTGTCCCATAATCAACGCCAAAAGGTGTTATCTGCAATTCTAATGAAACGTTAATCACTATCAAAGCGTCCACTGTTCCATAAAGAATACTCTTTTACGGCATTACTATTCTATACTGCTATTAACTTTGAAAGAAAACACAGAAAGTCTGGAAAAGATATTCATGGCATGACTGTGGATAGTTATAGGTTGGTTCAAAAATAACTATTCGTTCAACAAAACAAAAACACACATAATAATATAGTTTATTCGTGTCTCCATATCTTTAAACAGACATATCACACAGATATATATTTTTTGTGTGTGCAAAATTATAGACTCCCCATGACAGTACTTATCATAAACTGGTATGTCGTTCACAAATCTAGATACTGTAATTACATTCTTATCTATAATGGTAATCATCAAATAGCTGTCGAAGGTTTTATTCAACCGCCACAAATAAGTCCAAACAAGTAATATTCTTAGCAATAGGCGATTTGTTATTTCAAAAAATGATAAATCAACAAATTTCTCTAATAAATGGTCGAAAAGATTGATATTCAGCAGTTTTTATGAATTCTAGACCATCTTGAGAAACCCTGTATTTACTGTGTCGTTAGAAGATGTACTCAAGTTAGGTTAATGCTCTGTTTTATGGAGGAATTCCTATCACGCAATCAGTGGTATGCAATCTAGGTGGGTAAGTTGCACATTCCAAACATAAAATATCTATGAAAGCATGATTTATATTCCTAAGAGCAATCACATGTGCATATAAATTCACTGATAAGGGCCTATAAACTAACTATTAAAAAAACCGGTTAAGTCATAAAAATGAAACAAGGTGATCCCTTGGGAGCATTAATCATAACAAAGTTACATGTTACATGAAAATTGAACACTCGGTTATATTGAGTCAGTACATGAGGGATAATGAAAAGATGCAATATCTGTCACCCCACCCCCTGCCTCCGCTTGGCAGGTACTAAATCTTTAACACTTTAAAGTGCTTGAATCAATGATTACGAAGGACCAGAAAAAGATAACATAACTTAGTGAAATACGAGGCAATTTTTTTAAAGCTGCCACACTGCACTTGACACCAGCTGATGTGAAGTATAAAAATCTGAAAGAAAGGTCAGTCAAGGTTATGGATAATGAAATTTAATTTGAAGTTTCATTTGACATTTTATAACCTTTCAGAGTTTGTATTCAAAAGAATGTACTCATTTTCGAAAGACCTTGATTATATTATTCATTTAAACATTAGAACCGTCTATATTAATTTTAAAATAAAAAAGGTGAAATATTTCCCTTTCATTTTAAAATAAACGATTACTTTGTTACAAATGTAAACGTAAGATTACAAACCGCCAATTAAGATAATGTACTATATTTGGCTGCATAAATAGATATTTATATGATCATTTCCTATGACCGTTATTTAAATGATATTCGGCCTAGTAGTACGATAAATAGAGAATAATATGCTACTGTCTTTTGATATCAATTTTATCAAGCGAGGCTGATATCGGCTAGAAAGGGGCGAAGCTTTTCTATTTATCATATAACAAATAAATCGCACATCATAATCTGACACTTTGAAATAAAATGAGAATATAAACTATTAAGCAATAAGTGCTTCGGATATTCAACTGTAACAGAGAGCAATTGCCAAGTCTGGTTTTGTACATTTTCTGTGACTGTTAACATCATTTGGTGGAAACATCAACATTTAACTTGTATTTTTTATTCTTATGTATATAATTTAGTATGATACGTATAGATAATAATATCAGTTTAAATGTCAATGTTTTGATTTGTTTGATTTGGTTTTGAGTCGCCTCAAGTCAGTGTAGGTCACATGGCGACGTTATAGCTTTTCTGGTGGAGAACCTCAGGCGCAACTCTAAGCAATATTTTAGTCCAGCACGAGTAGAGACAATTTAGACGGCGTCGTAGGCTACGACAAACGTTAATAAAACAGTTCTTACCGGCCTGCGCCATGTATGCGACTACGACGTGTCGTAGAGCCTTGATAAATTTACCACACCCTGAACCGTAAATGTTCCTTAAGCTAGTCCAGTTAATGAAGAACACCAAATTTAACAAGTGACAAATATAAAGGACAAGTTTATTTGTACAAAAAATATTGAGAAAATTAATCAAGTATTTATGCTGAGCAATAAACACCAATAAAGTTACTAAATTATGAAATGGTGAAGCTAATAAGTCATTAAACTGATGTAAAACATGACGTTTTCATGTAGGTTTTTATCGATTAAGAATTCAATAATTTTAGTTCAAGTGCACTTTAAAAAGGCTCGTGATGACATAATTTATAACTGGTGACATTTTTAACGAATTTACAGGATTTGCAAAACAGCTTTATGTTGGGCAGTATTTCATCCGCGAGTGATAGTATCAAACGTGAAACGAAAATGTAAACATACAAATCGTTGTATTAAAACGGAGAAGTATTTTCACAAGCAAAGAAATAAAGTCAGTGCTGACATGACAGAAAAACTAATATCAATCTTGCTTATCCCTGTGGGTTTTTTTTAAAGATAACAGAGTTTGGCTAACTCTCAACTTCCTATATGATATTTGAAGTCTATTTTCGTATTAGATTTATGCAATTAAGAAAAGTGACGTGTTTCTCTTTCATATTTCGACTTGATTTGTTTTATTACTTCACCAAGCTTACGTGATTCCTATTTTCTATTTTTAAGTCACTAAGAGAATACTTAATACATTTTCTTCAATTATTGTGAGTTTTGTTGTTGTGTAATTGAAATTGTATAAGTCACTAATACGTGACACAAATATAAATTTTAGACATTTCCATGCTCAAATATACAACATACACTGTACATTCTATTTCTATTCATTCAATGATGACATAATCAGTTTGTGTTACATAAATCAAAGGATATTAATAAGATTCATCGACATTGTATGATATTATAAAGCATTTTTAGCCCTTAAATGGTATAGTTTAACGGTTATTTAACTGTCAATTTGAGCTATATAAAATATATATTTTATTGTTTGCACGGATATAACTAATTAAAAATCTGAAAAACATAATAATCAAATGTAGTTTTTTTCTTAAATACAAGAAGATATTTTTCGATTTGATATTTGGTTTTAAGTGGTTTAATATTTGACTGGTTTAATCTGAAATAGAATTCCTTTCATTTATGTTTACTTTGAGTTTGTTAAAATCTGTCGTATTATAGAGCAATAACCCTGATCCAGGAATTAAAACCAATTCTTATCTTAAAGATATACTATGATCATCTTCGGGTAAAATACTTTTTTTGAAGAAATTTGTTGAAATCTATGAAATTCGTGCTGAATATATATATGTTATTAAAATAAAAGAACATGCAAACTTTGTATGGGAATCTACGTTCCTTATTACAGGTCAAGTAAGGTTGTAAGGTTGGTCCTTTCTTAAAATACTGTCATTTTTTTAATGGGACTATATAGTCATGTTTTTCGTAAAAAACGCTTATTTATTTTTCCCTTGCATATGAGAACTTTGAAATATTTATTTCCAGATCATTTAGGGGGACTAGGATGTAGATATTTTTCAATTTTAGCTGTCCATATTCCTGACAAAAATATGTTGACTCCATGCATTTGATATAAAGGAAAACAAATATATTTGAGTAAGTATTAACACTTTCTGTACATTATCTTAGATTTACAAAACGACTGTTTTATCAGTTAAACCTGTTTAACGTTAGTCTTTCTACCTTCATTCACACATTTAGTAACGTCAAACACATGGAGAAGTGTGTTTGTTGAATGGTAACAACTATCGTCCTTTGAACAGTACAGTAGAGGTAACGGATCAAAGAAACCACGTTAGTTGTGGCAATCGTCAGCATCCGCCTCATAACTGTTACTTTTACATTTAACATTTCAACAAATGTATATGTAAATAATTGTTTGTGACATTATGGCCATCCATTATTCCCATCCA